TTGATGACTCTCTATGATAGCCTTTATTCCCCTCAGCATGATGTCTTTTTTCCAAGGACAATATACTTTAGCAGCTTGCTAGAGGAAAAGAATCTGTGATTTTGGTTTTATAGTCTCTCAGGAAATAAATGTTATCTATCACACTGAAATGGTCTTTTTGACCGTGAATCATGTCAGTTTGGAGTCTAATATGAGCCTGATCCAGGCCATAGTCTTTTCAATTGCTTGCTATGCATCAGTGAGTTAGAAAATGCTAATGATGACACAAAAAGAATAGATTACTTTTGAGTTGTGGTGCTAGAGAAGAGTACAGAACATACCCTGGACCAACAAGAAAACAATAATCTGTCCTGGAGTGGATGAATCCAGTTTATCCCTCGGAGGCAAGGATTCTGAAGTTGTGTCTCACACATCTTGGACATGTTGCCAAGGGACTTGGAAGGGTTGAGGGCAGGAGAGGAAAACCTTGGACGAGAAGGATTGACTCAGCGACTGTGGCAATGAGGCCACTGTGTCTGAAAAGGTGAGGCTGGCTCAGGATAGGGCAAGGTTCAGAGTTATTGTTCTTAGCATCACTGAGAGTTGTAGTCGATTTGAAGGCACGTAACAACAACCATTGAATGAGCTTCTGGTCCATAGAGTATCTCTGGGAACCTGAAGACTGCATGTCTCTGATGATTCAAATCCACTGATGGCTCTGTGAGAAAAGGATGGGCAATCTCTCCCTGCTGTGGCTCAGTCTTGGGAAGCTAAGGAAAAGCCAGCCATGAGTCAGAACCAATTGAATGGCTGTGAGTTGAGTGAGTACTCTTAAAGGTTTATAAATGTATGTGTGGAAGTGAATGAAGATTATTAATGTTTTCTTCACTACTAGTATTTGGCCAGCCTGACAACCCTAAAATATGTCAGCTGGAAAGGATCCGTTTTATCCCATTTTCAAAGAAGAGAGAACTGGAACCTGTCCAGCTTATCTTGCCAAAAAACCAAAATGAGAACGCAGGCTTCCTTCCAGGCTACAGGTTCTGGTCTCTTCTCTAGACCCAGTATATACTATAGATTTAAAAAACTGAAGGCTTTGGAACTTGACAATAGTGATGGCGAATTAATTAATGTCACTGAATTGTGCACTTAAAAACCTGTTAAAGTGGCAAATGTTTTCCTATATTCTTTGCTGTTGTTGTTGATGTGCTGTTGAGTCACCTACTACTCATAGCAACCCTATATACAAACAGCTCTGAACCCTGCCCTGTCCTGAGCCAGTCTCACTGACTTTGATACACTTATCTTCATTACCCTAGTTACTGTGCCAATCCATCTCACCCAGGGTCTTCCTCTCCTGTGCTGTCTCTCTACCCTCCCAAGCATGATGTCCTCCTCCAAGGACTGGTCCCCCATGGCCATGTTCCCAAAGTACAGATGGAGCTTCAAAATCCCAATCTCAAAGAAGAAACTTGGTTTCACCCTCTTCAAGACAGATTCATTTGTTCTCTTGGTGGTCCCTGGTATATGCAATACTTTTCTGCAGCATCACAACTCAAAGGCATGAATTCTTCTGTCATCCTTAGTCATTGTACAGCTCTCTAATGCATAGCAAGTAATTACGAAGATGATGGCCTGGATCAGGTGCACCTTAGTCCCTAGACTGACATCATTACTCTTTATCACTTTGGAGAGGTCCCTGACAGCAGACTTCACCAGTGTGATCTGTCTTTTGATTTCCTGACTGCTGATGCCAAGAGTGTTGACTGTGGAGCTGAGCAAGCTGAAATTGTTAGCAACCCCAATCTCTTCTCTATCTATCATTTTGCTGCATATTGGCCCAGTGGTGAGAATCTTTGTCTTTTTGCTATTGAGCCAATCCATACTGAAGACTACAGTTCTTGGATTTCTCCAGAAAAATGCTTCACATCCTCTTATCACAATAATTTTAAATTATGGACTCAGTTATTTGCAAAAATTATTATTAATTTTCTATGCACTATTTACACATATAACTCTTAAGAATTATTGTTGTATCTTACTGATTATGAAAAAGGTATCTGAGCAATCATTTAAAACATCTTGTTGAATCAGCTAATAGCATGCACAGTTTGTGATTCAAACCTAATGGGATTTTACATTTATGCTATAATCACCAGAAAATGAACTCTTTAAGCATTTCTTCACAGTAAGAACTTTCTCTCTCTAGTATTAGAGAAAACGAAAGCAAGCACCAACATGCAATGATGACTTCTGCACTGATTATTCGAGGCACTGATTTCCTGCTGTTGCTTGTTAAGAATATACACAGCACACTGTTCATGAAGGGTACTTCCAAAGGATGACATGCGCAGTGGCTTCTTAAGGGGAAAGGCTGCCCTAGGCCTGGGATGCACAGATATTCAGTTCCTGTTTGATGGTGGGATTCTTCTTTAAACTTTCTAATGTACTTTATGAGAGCTTTGGGGGCCTAATGGTTAGAAGATGTGCTGCAATAACTCAAAGACATGCAGTTCAAATCCACCAGCTGCTCGATGGGAGAAAGAGGGGTACTCTATTCCCAGAGAATTGACTGCCTCTGGAAACTAGCTGGAGGGTTGGCCAAAACTCATTTCCAGCTTGAAGGCACACAAAAACAACCACAATATACATTAGAGTGAATTCCAGTGGCTTAGAGATAGAAATGCCACAGGATACAGGACTGTACAGATCCACTGTTCACAAGGTTGCTAGCAGTATCAAGGGCATCTAACAACCACAAGTGGCAGGGAGCTGGGCTGCCAACCCAAGGGCACACAGTTTCAATCTCCCAGCCATTCCACAGGAAGAAAGATAAGAAATCTTCTCCTGAGCGATTTACTCTCTGAAAACCCACTGGAGGGTCAGCTATGAGTTGGATCTTGCTAAATGGCACAAAACAAATTGTACTATACCAGGAAGGTAGTTTTTTTACGAGGAGGGTCCAGTTCCTGGAAAAAGATAGCATATTTATACTTTGGTCTAGGGAGCACTGGTGGCTTAGTGGTTAAGGAGCTGAGCTGCTAATCCAGAGGCAAGTGGTGCAAATCCATTATGGCTTGGTAGGAAAAAGATAGGCAATCTCCTCCTGTGAGATTTACAGCCTTTGAACACCCTGCTGAAGGGTCAGGTTTGAGTTGGTTCTGACCTGATGACATGTAACAATAACAACAAAGTGGAGGATCAGGGCAGCAGCAGCGGGTCCTCAATGAGGGACTAACACAATAGCTGGAACACTAAGTGCAATCACAATAGCAACTGCATGAAGGGATAGGGTCAGGCAGTGCTTTGTTCTGTTGTGGTGCACAGGGCTGCTCTGTGTTAGAGCTGACTGACTTACATGTTAAATGGCACCTAACCACAGCAATAAATATACTTTGTCATTTTAGAAAAAGCTAAAGAAACACCCAAATCCACAGTTGCTATTAGTTAACTCTGACCCTTGATGACTCCATATGTTTCAGAATTGAATTGTGCTCCGCAAGACTTTCAAGGGTTAATTTTTCAGAAGGAGCACACCAGGTCTTTCTTCTGCAGCACCTCGAGGCAGATTCCAACTTCTAATCTTTCAGTAAGCTGCTAGTCCCTTAAGCGCACTATCCAGGATCTCCACCTAAGATTTAGAGCAGACCAACCGGGCTTAGTAATAATAATCATTGGTATCAACTGAACTCTTACTGTGTTCATGCCTTTTTCATAGACTGTCTCACTTAATTCTCACTAGGAGCCTATCAGATAGCTAATGTCATTGTCCTTGGTTTACACATAAGGAAGCAGAGGCTCAAAGAACTTACAAAATATGGTGAGAGATACACAGCTATTGACAGAATTCAGATTCAAACTAAACTGGCTCCAGAGTTCACACTCTGAACCCTAAAGCTTCACCACACCACTCTCTGAAGTTACACCTCCACAGTAAGTACCACCTATTCTTGACTGGAAGAGATCTATATTTGTTCCCATTCCAAAGAAAGGTGACCTAACTGAGTGTGGAAACTACAGAACAGTGTCATTGATTTCACATGCAAGCAAGATTCTACTGAAGATCATCCAAAAACGATTAGAACAGCACATCAACAGAGAACTGCCGGAAGTCCAGGCTGGGTTTAGAAGGGGTCGTGGTACTAGGGATATTGTTGCTGATGTTAGATGGATCTTGGCTGAAAGCAGAGAATACCAGAAGAATGTCTATCTGTGTTTCATTGATTATGCAAAGGCATTTGACTGCGTGGATCATAACAAACTGTGGCTGACTCTGAGAAGAATGGGAATCCCAGAACATTTAATTGTGCTAATGCGAAACCTATACTTGGACCAGGAGGCAGTAGTCAGAACAGAGCAGGGTAAGGGTGTACGCCAGGGATGCATCCTGTCTCCATACCTTTTCAATATGTATGCAGAGCAGATTATCCGAGAGGCTGGGCTCTATGAGGAGAATTGTGGCATCAGGATTGGTGGAAGATCTATTAACAATCTGCGTTATGCAGATGACACAACCCTGCTTGCTGAAACTGAGGAGGACCTCATGCACTTGCTGCAAAGGGTCAAGGACTGCAGCCTTCAGTATGGACTGAGGCTCAATGTCAAGAAGACAAAGATTCTCACCACTGGACCAATTGGCAGCGTCAGGATGGATGGCGAAGAGATTGAGATTGTTCACAGCTTCAGTTTGCTCGGCTCCACAGTCAACACTCTTGGCAGCAGCAGTCAGGAAATCAAAAAGCTTATCGCGATGGGAAACTCTGCTGTTAGGGACCTCTCTAAAGTACACACACACACACACACACACACACACACACACACACACACACACTTTAGTTTCCTTAAAAATCAAGCCCTGAAATATTCTGTGATGGAGGCAGTTCTTAGTAATAATGCAAGGAACACACAAAACGGGGGTAGGGAGGGAGGAGAAACATGACTTCAAGGAAATTAAAGTGATGTGTTAATTACTGCGAAATTTCTTGGCATTTGTGTATTAATACATAGACTAAGAAACTCACTCATAATTCCCAAAGTGTGTCACAACAAAATCCAGGAGCTTGCCAGTGATGTTCACAGTCAGGGTTATGGCTGGTGCAATCTCGCCCTCTGGTGACGGAAGCAGGTGGTGCTCCGACTTCACAATTGGGTATCTTGACAAAACCATAATCCTGAATGAGAATAAAAAGAAACGGGAACAACATTGTTGGTCCTAGTTTAGCATTTAGAAAGGACAACGAGTATGCTTTAGAAATGACATACCACACAAACACATATGACTGAGGAAAATTAAGAGTGATAATGTGGCAGAGAATTACATAGCATAGCTGGCTTGCTGGCTCGTTGCAGCTCTGTGATTCAGTGTGCCTTGCTGTGACATTAGCTACTACAGCTATCAAGTCTCATTTAATGAAGCATGCTGCCAACCCAAAGGCAAGTGGCTCGAATCCACCAGGTGCTCTGAGGGAGAAAGATGGGCAATCTCCTCCTGTGCCATTTACAGCCTCTGAAAATATGCTGGGGTCAGCAGTGGCACAATGTTTATATGATCGGTTGCTATGTAAAAGGTTTGTGGTTTGAATCCATTTCCTGACTCTGTGAAGATAAAAAATCTGGTAACCTACTTTGATCTAGGAAAGCCTAGGACAGTTCCACGGTGTCAAAAAGAGCGCTTCTGAGTTTGAATTGACAGAACAGCAACCAATAACAACATGGAAACACCAAATGAGCAACATTACTAGGAGAAAAATCCGTTTCATTTGCGTTGTGAGAATACATAATTTTATCAGGAAAAAAGTAAGGTAACAATCTACAAAATCATAATTAGCATTTTAAAAATTAAATTTTGCTGGACAAATATAGAAGGAAATATGTCTGATCTTATTGTAAACTAAAGTACTATGTCTGAAAGGATGAGTAGGACTCAGTCTTGGCAGCTTCTCTTCTGCAGCTTCATGTAGGATCCCCTGTGCCCTCATGTGTCCCTTCATGCAGAAGCACTTCCACAGTCGCGAGGCCTGGTTTCGTATCTCCAACTTTTCTCAGTTCTACCCTCAGCTCTGCCTCACTTACTTTGGGCACGAGGCCAGGAGAGATCAGTCCTTGGAGAAGGACATCATGCTTGGAAGGGTGGCGGGACAGCGCTGGAGAGGGAAACCCAGGTTGAGATGGATTGATACGGTCACTAGGACAATGGGGGTTGGTGTGTCAGAACTAGTGAGACTGGCTCAGGACAGGGCAGGGTACAGAGCTGCTGAACATAGGGTCACTATACATCATAGGTGACTCAATGGCACAAGACAACAATAACATACTATGACAGATTTGGAAGCAGGAGTGGCGTCCACTTCCTAAGCAATATGCCTCCAGAAACTCCATGAACTTTGATAAAGGTCAATAGTTGTAGAGGTGTATCAGGCTTTTTGTCCATAGGGTCGCTATGAGTTGTGTCCTATTTGAAGGCAATCAACAATAACAACCCTCAGTTCATATACAACTGCCTAGAGAATATCACTTGAGTGTTCAGGGACGTCTCAAACTGAACAACATCTTGCTTTCCTAGTTAGTCCTAGCCCATTAAACACCAGCATTTTCATTAATTCTATTCAGAGGAATATACTTAAACCAAAGCAAACCTACCACTACTGAGTTGATTCTGACTCATAGCAACCCTCCAAAGAGTTTCTAAGGCTGGAAAAGGATGAGTCTATCCACCTTTATCTCAAGAAGCAGCTGGTGGATTTGAACTGATGACCTTTTAGTTAGCAGACCAACATACAATGTGTTATGCCATCAGGACTCTTTTGGTCTGTACTTTAAAAATCTGTAAACATATTTTCACACAAAATCTTGCATGTAAATGCTCACAGCAGTATTAATCCTCATAGCTGCAACATGGAAACAACTCATATGTCCATCATCACTGGGTACAATGGAATATTACTCACCCATAAAAAGGAATGAAGCACTGACGTACTGGACAACTCAGTTGAATTTTAAAAATGTCCTTAATGAAAAGAAGCCAGCTATACAAGTTGTCATAGTATATGATTCCATGTATATGAAATATCTACACTAGACCTATCACTATAGATAGAAAATTAGAGAGGCCTGGCGGTCTAGTATTAATAAGCTGCAATTTAATCCAAAAGGCTTGGGGTTCAAATCAATCAGCTACTCTGAGGGAGAAGGATGGGCAATCTTCTCCCATGTAATTTACCACTTCTAAAAACTTGTTGAAGGATCAACTATGAGTTGATTCTGACTCAATAGCACACAACAATAACAACAACACCACAGTGGTCAGTGACAGAGGGGGTGGGAGTCACAATAGGTTTTAACAAATGTGCTGACCTTGGACTAGCACTTCTAAGATTGATCCCAGTTTGTGTCTTATGAACGTTATGGTTTTGGGCTTTACTCCCAGGTCTCTGATCCACCTTGAGATGATTTTTGTGTATGGTGTGAGATGTGGGTCCTGTTTCAGCTTTCTGCAGGTAGAGTCCAGTTTTGCCAACACCATTTGTTGAAGAGGTTATCATTTTCCCATTTGACAGCTTTGATTTCCTTGTTGAATATCAGTTGACCATAGATAGCTGGGTCTATTTCTGTGTTCTCAGTTCTGTTCCATTGGTCTATGTGCCTGTCATGGTACCAGCACCATGCTGTTTTGGTTACTACCACTGTGTAGTAGGTTTTGAGGTTAGGGAGTGCTATAAAATTGATGAATGGGACCTTCTGAAGATTAAATCCATGTGTGCATCAAAAATTTTTTCCAACAGAATTAAAAGAAAACCTACTGACTGGGAACAAACATTTGGTAATACCATCTCCGACAGGAGTCTTATAACAAAAGTTTACAGAATACTCCTGGACCTCCATGAGGAAAAGACTGATAAGCCAACTACAAAATGGGCAAAAGACACGGACAGAGGAAGATATTCGAATGGCAAACAGACATATGAACAAATGCTCCAAATCACTGGCAATAAGAGAGATGCAAATAAAAACCACAATGAGGTATTATCTCACTCCAGGAACAGTGGCAAAGTTTAACAGGGCAGCAAGTAATAGATGTTGGAGAGGATGTGGTGAGAAAGGAACTCTTACACGTTGTTGGTGAGATCATAAAACGGTGCAACCATTTGGCATTTCCTCAAAAAGCTGAACATAGAAATTCCATATGACCAAGTTATTCTATTACTCAAAATATGTTGTTGTTGTTGTTGTTGTGTGCCATAGAGCTGCCTGCGACTCATAGCGACCCTATGTACAACAGCCCTAAACTCTGCTCTGTCCTGTGCCAATCGCACCGTCTCCGACTCACCCATCCCAATTACCCCAGTCACTGAATTAATCCACCTCATAGGGGGCCTTCCCCTTCTGCGCTGTCCCTCCACCCTACCAAGCATGATGTCCCTCTCCAAGGACCTGTCCCTCCTTGCAACATGTCCAAAGTATGTTAGACGGAGCCTTAGAATCCTTGCCTCCACCGAGCAGCCCGGTTTGACCCTTTCCAGGATGAATCTGTTTTCCTAGCAGTCCATGGTACCCTCAATACTCTTCTCCAGCACCACAGCTCAAAGGCATCAATTCTCCTTCTATCCTCCTTGGTCACTGTCCAACTCTCTGAAGCATAACAAGTGATAGCAAAGACCATGGCCTGTATCAGACGCACCTTAGTCTCCAAAGAGACACCATTGCTCTTCAGTACTTTGGAGAGGTCCCAACAGCAGACTTTCCCATGGCAATGCGCCTTTTAATTTCCTGGCTACTGGTGCCAAGAGTGTTGACTGTGGAGCCAAGCAAACTGAAGCTGTGAACAATCTCAATCTCTTCACCATCCATCCTGATGCTGCCAATTGGCCCAGTGGTGAGAATCTTTGTCTTCTTGACATTGAGCCTCAACCCATATAAATCATCCGCCACATTTCAGGTAAACGTGGATTGCCAAGGGCGCAGCACGTGATCCGTTCGGGCCCTCCGGCCAAGAAAAAAAACTTAAAACATACCCTAAGAAAATGAGAACTGAGGCACAAATGGAAATTTGTACAACAGTGTTCACAGAAGCATAATTCACCATCACAAGAACATGGAAACAGCCCAAATGTCCAACCATAGATGAATGGATTGAGAAATTATGGTACATTCACACAGTGGAATACTATGCAGCATGCAGAAGAAATTATTTTTTTTTAATTATCACCTAACTTGGGACAGAGTGGGGAGCATTGTGCTGAGTGAACTAACTCAGTCCCACAAGGATAAATATTGTATAAAACCATTATTGTAGAATGAATATAACATCCAAGAAGGGTGGGAGAGGGTGGAAGCAGAGGGGTGAGGATGTGCAGGGGGAGGGGAAGGGTAATCATGGGGTTGTGCAATGTGATGGGGGGCATTGAGGGAAATGGAAAGAACCTATTCTTGAAAAACAACCAAATAGTCCACAGCCACCCTCAACAAGAAATCCACCTTTCAGAATCCAAACCATTTTAAAGGGTACAACTCAATGGCTCAAGTGTATTAATAGTGTTGTGTAGCCATCAGCACTATCTAGTTTCAGCATATTTCGAAATATTTTTTTATCTTTCACTAGTTTATTTACAAAATTTGGATACATTGTTTTCAAGAATAGATGATGGACATAGTTCAATGGTGATTAATTTTATCAAATATAATGCATGAAAATGATTATATGAAACATAATGTGAATGAAGAATAATAGTTTGAAACACAATCTGAATAAAGGATAGTGTGAAACACAATGTATATGAACTTTGTAAGCAAACCAATATAAAATAAAAATATATTGAAAAAAGAAGACAATGAAAGGTTAAAAAAGGGAGGGAAAGTTGACCTCCTTTTATATTGCCCAGTTCTGTCACATCAGCTCACAGGGACCTTAATGAATGACAACAGACTATGCAACCCTTCCATATTCTCCCAACCCCTATAGTGTCTGAAGCTAATGTGGCAGTCACTGTGTGAATCAACTAATTGAGGGTCTTTCTACTTTCCTTTTGCTGGTCCACTACTTTACCAAACATGATGTCTTTCTCCAGGGACTGGTCCCTCCTGCTAGCATGCCCAGAGTATGTGAGACAAAGCTTTACCTGTGCTTCTTTGCTTCTAAGGAGCACTCTGGCTGCACTTTTTCCAAAACAGATTT